GTACAGACCTGCCTTAGACCGTACTTACCACCGGCATTCGACGTTACGCAGTCTATACCAGCTACACAACAATCTCGACCACACAGGAGCATTACAGCTCATGTTTCACATGTGGGTTTTTGCGCGAAGTTTTAATTCTGATCTTTGAGTACGGTTCCTTTGGGATTGTTCAGGAAGATGCATTTAGCTAATCGGTTGAACCTTGACTAGGGATATTTTTTTACTGCTAACAGAAAGTGTCAGGATTTAAAACCAAAGGAAGTGCATTCCGCTTTTTTAAATCGTGTTTTTATTCCGGTCATGTTATATAACGTATATGTTATGTTATATATAACATATCATATAACGTTTTATATGCATTTTACATAACATAGCTTGAGTAGTTTGATAATCCTAGACACGAACACTGGTCTTCGTTAATATCTGCAACGCCAATCACTCATCAGGGCAATTAGGATGACATTTTAACTCAACTTATTGAAATTGAGTCTGCTGACGTCAAGTTTATATCGTCGAAGCTTCGTTGGCGTGTTTTCCTCCCCATTTTCTTTGTTGTTATAACATATATACCCGTTAGCGGCTATGCTGGCGTCTACAAAATTGTCCCTGCGATTCCAGCAATATTCCAAACGCCTGAAAAGTACTTCGAGTAGCACCTGTTCTGCTCTGCCATCCACTACTTTTTCTTTGGAGTTCACTGTAATTCGTCACAGTGAATACTTTCTTCTGGTCAAAAAAGCAGCTGGAATATAATATTTCCTTGACGGCGTTACTGAAGGAACTGTCTTATTTGAAAATGCCGTTCAACTGATACGCGAAATTCAATTGTTCATCACAGCTTCGGGCAACCGGAGCGAAGTGGACAGTCCAGCCATACTAACTGGTGCCTAGCTGGCGCCTTCACGACTAGCTGATAGCAGGACAGTTCTTAGTGCAGGTTAATTGCGGACTAATTACGCTTTCTGACCTGGTGGATGAAGCTTCGCAGACCAGCAGCGGCAGTCCTAATAGGTTGGAGGAAGTTACATTCAGACAATGGACTACCTTATAAGGTGCTGCAGAGTTTGGTAACATTTCTGTGACAAAGCTAGCATAAGCTGAAACTTCAAAAATGTTCCTCCCGCTTCTGCCTCACAAGTTGAACCTTCACCCAAGAATAAATTAGGACGTGGGCACCGACTTGCACTAGAATCCTGAGTTGCTACTTTGTACCTTATTTTGCAAGTGTTCGCGCAGTAAATTGTGGTCGTTGCTTCCTCGTCGAGGTGCGCTTTCAAGAACAGCGTTAACGTAATAGACTCTGAGTAATGTTTCCAAGTCTGCCACAACTGTGCCGTTGACAACTCTGGTGCGCACACTCGCATTTTTTAAGGGGTCAGACCAAAGCTTCACTTATGTACGGGGAGCCAGTGCCCCCGGGGACTACACTCACACTCCCATTTGTTCTCTAAGCTGGAATACAAAACATATCAATTCTCGCTGCACTCTTGTTGTCTATGAAGATGGCTTCTTGTACGAATCCGAAAGCTCCGAAAAATACATATACCGTTCCAGTGCTCTCGCCTTCATCTTCTACGCTTGAGTATGTTTGCACGGGGGTGCCCTGATGACCTCTATGGCTTATTGAATATTCTCACGATGATGTTGCGCGGGCTTTCTGTCTTCTGCTAAGGGTCATTGTAAACTTGTATTACATTACCACAAACCATTTGCCTAGTCGTCCTTCCAAAGATCGTTCCAGATAATGATAGTAACGTCTTCTCGGAACGTTCTCTCTGTTTTTTTTTCCCAGTCAAGATCACCCGAGACTGTAGTAAAAGGGCATATCCGTGCTGAGGCATTGACTGTGCTCTTGTCATTTCCATTCTTTCTCCTGAGGGTCCATTGACATTCGCTTGGAAGACGAGAACACTCAGCGCATCAACAGGCGGCGTAT